TTTTGCCCCTGATTTCGGGGTGATGAGGAGCCCTGAAGAAATATGCAGCCTGGAGGCAGTTCTTAAAGGCTTTGTGGAGTCCCCCGCTCAAACCCAAATGACCCCAACCAGAAACCTCAAGGAGAGCCTAGATTGTGTAGTGAACAAATACATGGGAGGGGATAGGGAATCATGGGCTGGCAGTGCCTGGAATCAGATCAAGCCCATGCTGTAGCAATACAGGACTTGAGATCCACTATCTATGCAAGCAGGAACTCTGCAGCAAATCCTTGGTGAGGGTGTACACTTCTATCTGTGCCTCAGATCAAGTAATTGAAAATTGGTCACATCTCTGTAAGCTGTATAATAATCAGGAGGAATATGGCTCAGTTACTCCAGGCTGCAGAAAGGAGACATCTTCAGCGATCAGACACAAAGCTGGGCTGGAGGCAGCTGCTGCTGCTGCTTCAGAACTGGGAGGTGGGGAGTTGAGGGGGGATTTGGGGATAGAGGCTTCCCGTGGCAGGACCAAGGCAGAAAAAGGCACCTACATACAATGACAGCCACTCAAAACCTGTGTGTTTATCTCCCATCAACCAAGGCTCTTCTGGGTCTCCTAAAAATATTTCAAGACAGTTTCAATATTTCAGATTTCAATCTTTCAAGCAGTTTATACTATATCAACTAACTAGAGGCAAGCACATGGAAAGGCAGGTGGAATCAGAGGAATGAAGTGAGGGCTTCCTCTACTAGTTCAAACACCTGTGTTGTTTCTTATATTAATAATAATTGTTTTTAAAAAAGGAAGATCACAGAGGAACCTTTAGCCAGTCAGGAAGTTGACTAGAGATCAAAGGCAGAGTTTGCTAATATATAGATCTGGGAAGAAATTCATGCATGGCAATGTCCCTAAAAGGACATAATATAATTGTGGATGGGCAAGTATGACCCTAAGAAGACACAGCAAATGATTCAAAGTGAAACCTGTGTTTGCTGAGTTTCTGAGCTTCATGTCTTTATATTTCAAGAACTGCGATTTACAAAGCATTCTAACACCTTCATCTACAAGGCTATGGCCTTGAGCAAAAATACAAATAAAACTAGTGATAATTCAAGAACTTCTGAGGTAAGTCTCCTTTGACCCCACATCCAGACTGGGTTGCTCTCAGATGTCTAATTACTCCAGCCAGCCGCTTGGGTACATCCACACTGGCCTGACTTGAGAAGCCAGTGAGATTTTATGGCTAGCAGGATGATGGCAGGAGCACTTTGGGGCTTCACTGCTTAGAGAGGGGACCCTCAGGTCTGCCCTTGGCCCTGCTTGCTAACCTGGCTCCAGTGAATGGCCACCATGCAGACTCATATTTACATATATCTTGCTTTCCATGCATTATCTGCCCATTATGCCACAAGATCCCTTTCAGCCTCAGACAATGCAAAATGAAAAGGACCCACTGATACCCCAGCAGATTTTTTTAAAGACCCATATGGCATCCCCTCAGGTCCGTAAAATATTTATCTGATATTTGCGATTAGGGCCCCCAGAGTGCAAGGTCACTACCCTTCTCCCAGCTAGACCACTCCAAGGGAGAGAAGCCCAGGAAGGGTGTGCTTGGCCCCTTGTGCTGGCTGCTTCGATTTCTTGCCTCCTTTGAAGGCAGAATGCCTGTAGCTGGGCCCGGCTGCCAGGTGCCAGGCGGCCACCCCTGTGGCCTCCCTCAGGCAGGAGCCCTAGCTTCGGCCCAGCTTCCCACTCCAGATATTCATTCCCACTCTGGATATTCTTGCAACAGGATTCCCCCACGTGTGGACAGACAGTATGAGCTCTCGGATCGATTGGGTGGTTGTGGTAGCAAAGCTAGGGAAGCAGTACATATTTACACGCCATGAGTTACACTTCAGATCAGAAAAGGAGGCAGAACGTGCAAAACCCATGTCTTGCTTTTTATATGATAGTGTCGATGTGGGAGCCCTCAATATTTCTTCTACAGTATATGGAAAAGAAATTATGTAAATAAATAACCATTACCGCTCAGGCCCTCCCGGCTTAGCCTTTGTAGTGCAGAGAATGTATTTCATGTTGTGCATTCAGAAGAGTTTAGTGTTCAGGAAATATAGATGTAATCAGCTGCCATAACTAGAAATCAAAGTTATTATTGTGCTGAAAATGGATTTATTGTATTTATGTTAACTAGATGGCTCCTTTCAGGGAAGGTCTCATTTATTTGAGAGAATATTTAGGTGTATGAATTAATGAATTTTTTAAAAAAGTAAGTTCAGGTCACGACCTAGTCCTTGGATGCTGTCCAGAATATTAAGGATTAAACATACCATCCGGAGGCCAAATGTGAAAACCACCACAGGGAACCCCCGTGCCAGCTTCAAATCCTTAGCTGGAGCAAACCTCGTTGGATAATATGTCTAAAACTGTCTTTTCCATCATTCAAAGTTTGCTTAAAAGTTGGATGACTTTGAGAAGGCTTCCCATGAATTCCCTTCTGGCTAGTAATCAAAACAAGTTTAGTCAAAAGTGGAAATGTGTTGTATGGAGGAGGGGGGTGAATTACTACTGACAGCTCTATTTCCATTTTCAGATATTCTGCTTGCAATTTTCCAACAAAATAATGTTATTGTTCACTTCTCGGCCTCCCTTGTACCTTGAAGACTCGGTTCAAGAAACTTCTTTGGGAAAACTTTCTTTTAAAAGGAACACTTTTCACAGGGATGTTTTAGGATGGAAAGTTGAAAGAAAAGCATGAATAATTCCACAGTCTTCCCTGCAGCCTGCACAGTCCTCGCCTCTCTCTGGGAAAGGGCATGAGATCAGAAAAGTCAAGGGGGTTCAAAGAACCTTAGGGGGGACCAGGAAAAGGGAGGGGAGACCTTTCTCGAGAAGACGTCTGTCCAGCTCCAAGTCACATTTCTGCTTCAAGACACCTCACTGGATGGGATTTTAAACCCCAGCTTCCCTGACACTGGCTCGCTTCCTGATTAATTTGGCTAAAGAGCCGGGTAGTGGAGAGCCAGCCAGGCCCCAGGCCTGCCAGAGCTAAAGCAGCCCAGTCGCTGCTTCCCAGGCTCTTTGTCACTTTTGAAAAACACGTTTCCATCAAGAAGACTTATTAAGATAAAATGCATTCAAACACCGAGGAGGCTATTCAATAAATCTTCCATTTGTTTTAAGGTTCACACTTTATCCTCTTGCAAAGAATAACTCCCTCTCCCACTAGCAGACCTGCATTTGCACTGAAAGTAAAAGGGGGGCAGTCCAAGTCCACGGCTCTGGCCACCCTGCATACAAATGAGATGCTCTTGTCTAAATAAATTATCTGCTGTTCCAATCGATATTAATACTACATTTGCTACATTACAATATTGTGCAAATTTAAGAGTCATTTTAATACAATGTAAATACGATTCTTCACGCATGAAAGCCAAGAAATATTGATAGATTACACCACTGCTTACTGCTCAAGAAGGCCTTGGGAAAGGGGTTTTGCCATCTCTGCTCAAGAATGGTTTTAATTTGGCCTTTGGAGGTCCGGGCTCTAGGATAGATTTATTAGGATGGTTTATTTGTTCTCTGAATGGAGAAATTAAAAACAATAGTGCCAATAATGGTGGTAAAACTGCAGCTAACCCAACTCACAGTGGGCAAGGCCCGGGACCAAGTCTGAGCACCTCTGCTCCCCACCAGCCTCCTTTCTGGCTTTGTTTATATTTCCCCCCATTACCTGCTGTCCCGGGTGTTTATATGTTTCCCTCTTGCAGGTTACAATAATAAAAGGCGGGCAGTGTTCTCAGAGGCTCAGACCAGAGCCTTCAAAGGCAACGTTAATGCACTTTCCTGGAAGTTAATTTGAACCATCTATCATAAGAGAAATTGTTAACATGCATGTTACCACCGCCTACATTTAATTTGATATTTTTAAGGCACTCTGTTAAATTTCCAACGTTCGTGTGTTTTGCATGGCTATGAGATTTATCTCCGGGGCGGGAATCCTCCCGTACTTGCGGGCTCTACAGTATTGCTTTTGTTTTTTATCTTTCTTGTTTAGATCGAATCCGTTTTTTACGACCCTCAATAACCTCAGCAACTGCAAACATGAATGGTTTCCGATAAGGGAAAATCAGGCAGCAATAAAGCGGGATTATTTATGATTTATTTGCGCGTATTCTTCTCTTTCCACCTCTGTGTGTGTCTCTCTGTGTCGGGAAACTCATCCAGGGAGCGTGCCACACAGAGGAGAAAGCCACATTCCCACGTTCTCTTCCTTCCCTCTCCTCCCACGGAGACGCTAAGCTCTGGCACACACGCGCCGCGCACACACAGACACACCGCACACGCGAGCACCCAGCCGCATCCACGGCACCGCCTCCCCCCGCACCAGACACGCGCCCGCCGCCGCCGCGGCCCCGCGCTGGGGGCCAGGTCGCTTGGCCGGCCGCCTGCCGCCGGCATCCGCGCCGCCCCGGCTCCCGCACGGCCGCGCTCCCAAGATGGCAGCGGCGCCGCCGGCCGCGTCCCGGCGCGGGGACCGGCCAGGCCCGAGGGCCGGCGGGGCGGCGGCGCGGCGGGGCGCGGGAGGCCGGCCCACGCGGGCGGAGCGGGGCCTGCGGGCGCTCCCGCCCCGACCTGCCCTCCTGGCGACCGCAGCCTCACCTGACGTGAACAACACGATGGCTTTGAGGCAGCTGTACTCGGCCGAGTCGACGTGCAGCGCCTTGAGCTTCTCCACCTGCTCCTGGAAGATGCGGATGTGGTCCATGAAGGCCACGACGCGGTCGGCGGACATGGGCGAGGCGTGCAGGCCTGCGGCGGCCAGCAGCGGCGCCACGTGCAGCGGCATGGAGCACTGGGCCGCGTTGAGCACGAACAGCTCGCTCCAGGTGAGGCGTAGCAGGGACACCTGGTCGGTGATCTGCAGATCCGGGAAGAAGGGGATGTTGCGGGCCCACTCGACGGCGCTGAAGAGCAGGCGCGCGGCCAGCTCGCAGATGTTCTCGATGCCCATGATGTTGTTGGGCTGCATGCATTGGCTGCCGTAGCGCGACGTGGGGTAGGGCTCCGCGCGCAGCAGCAGCGAGATGTAGCCGGACAGGTAGCAGTGGCCGTTGAGGGGGTCCCCGTTGGTGAGTGCGTACTGGCCTGGATTGGGTTGGGTTGGAGGCATTCTTCCTCGCTGAACCGCTGACAAAAAGAAAGAGAGAAAAGAGGCAATGTGCATCCAGGGGGCTTGCGAACACCGCCGCGCCCGAAGAGCACCCGACACAATGCGGAGGCTTTTCCCGCAGCCACCGCATCTTCTCTCGAGCTCGCTCTCACTCACAGCCCACCCTGGGAGGAAATCTGGGGTGAGCCCCTCCGGCTCCGCGGCTCCACATGCCCAGCCATCGCCTGCGCCCCTGGCCACCCTCGCCCTGCCAGAACTAGGCCTGACTTCAGGGCCCCCAGCCCGACATGGCCAAGAAAGTGCCACCCAACCCCTCCACCACCAGGGAGTAACACACAGATTAAGGAAATCCCACTCACCCCTCCAGAATGGAACAAATCAGGGTTCAAAAAACCAAAACAGAACAAAACAACAACCAGGCGAAACCAGAGAAAGCTTGTGATTCTAGGTAAATGCCTAGCTGCCTCTTCATTTGCAAGCAAGCAGCGTTTTGCTCAAAATGTTTCCATATTCTCTAAAAATGCTATAGAACTATCCTTAAAATAGTTACAAGTTACATACCCTACTAACCACTTACAACTTTTGAATAGAAAACAAGTATCCTGCACCCCTCCCCTATCCCCACCTCCCCATCGCCCCACACAGAGTTCTCACTATTAAAAGAAACACAAAATTGAAAAATTTCAAGAAAAGAGTTGAACTTACAGTAGCCAAACATTATTGAAAAAAGTGGGAAATATAATTAATGTCTGTCCTGCGCGGTGCCACTGCAACCTGCAGCCAGCTTTTGCCCAGTGAATGCACGAGCTTGCAACTGCAAAAACACTGGATTCATTAACCATCTGAATGCAAAACGTAAGCATGCTTTGAGTTCTTAAAGCTGACCAAAGTTTTTTTTTTTTTTAATGTGTATGTTTTACTTCAACAGTGCCAGCGTTTTAAATTGCCATGTAAACAAAGACAACTTTAGGAAAAGTTAGGGCTACCGAACTCTCCCCCCAACAAATTAATCTAGATATGTCCATGTACACGTAGCTGTCTTATTTCAGGTTGTGCACTATTTTCTTAAGTTTCCTTAGATTCTAATTTTAATGCAAGCCCCAATGCAATTGAAGCTCTTGAAACATAATGGCTAGAATACTTTTTTCTAATTATGGTTTTGAACTTGGCAGTTATTTTTCAATTAAATGAGAGCACAATTCAAAGTTTTTTTTTTTTTCCAGATGCCTACAAAATCTCCCTGGAGCTAGAAATGAAGTCGTCATATTTGCCTGCTCCCTGAGATCTGAAGGAATTCAATTTCTTTTCTTGTGGCATATAAAATATAATTTTAAAGTCAATTACAAGAAGGAGTAATCTGCATTCTGCAAAATTGACTGGTTCGCTAATTTGACTATAAGACATCTTTAATGATTGTCAGGAGATAAACTTTAACTGTAAGCAGCTAAATATATTTATAAGAAAAGTGCTGCATCTCTTGCTACATGAACATGAAGCATATCTAAATACAACATCAAAAGTTGTGTTAAAAGAAACCAAACCCATACAACACAGGGATTAAATGATGTGGAAGCTCATGCCAGCTGCAGTGTGTGCGTTATAGCCAAATCAGAAGGATCGGTAAATGCCGTTGTAAATTGTAATTTGTATGCAGTATTTAAGCAGAGGGTGGAGTTTGATGAAGAAATAAAATGAGTATCATGCTTTTAAAAAAATGACACAACTATGAAAGCACGGTTCAGTCACAAACTTTCCTTTCAAAGTAGAGGGGTGAAAACAAGGCCACAGCTCTGGAGGAGGCGGCCCCAGCTCGGTGAAGAGGCAGGGAACCAGTGAACAGTCCAGAAGCCCCCCTTCCCCCCTAATTAGACCTACAAGTGCAATAAATCTCGCTCCTTTTTTTCCAGGCTAAGCTTCCAAAAGGATGATGCAGCAATGAGTCTGTGGTTCAGGGTACTCCAGTCCCTGGCCCTCCCCCATTTTAAATAAAGAGTACGAAGAAGTGGAGGAGAAAGTGGAATGAAAAAACACAGAAACAGAGTTTTTTCTGGGGGAAATAAGCACCCCTCCCCAAGTTCATGCCAGCACAGACCCAAGCATCCTGACGCACACGCGGAAAAGAGACACACACCGAGCACATCCAAGACAGAGGAAGGAAGGGGATTTTCAGCCACAGCTCGCGATCCCAGGGATACAATCCTGAGCAGGCAGCGGGCGGGGTGGAGGAGCCGGGGAGAGGAGCGCAGGCCGGGAGGGGGAGGCAGCGGCAGCGAGCTGGGAGGGGGGGACGCCGGGGGAGGAAGGCAGCAGGGACAGGGGAAGCTGGGACGGGCCAGGACCGCAGGAGCCCCAGCCCCATACGCAGCCACCCCCACAAGAGAGAAAGAAAGAGAGCCGGGGAGGCGGGCGAAGCTCAGGGAGAGAAGCAGAGAAGAAATATTCACCTTCCCGCCTCATGCCCACTTTGAGGCACTTCTTGAGGCGGCAGTATTGGCACTGGTTGCGGTGGTGCTGGTCGATGGGACAGTTCCTGTTGGCACGGCATGTGTAAGTTAAGTTCCTGCGGACGCTCCTCTTGAAGAAACTTTTGCAGCCCTCGCAGGTGAATTGGCCGTAGTGCTTGCCGCTCGACTTGTCCCCGCACACCACGCACTCGATGTGCTGCTGGCTCTGGCCCGAGCCGGGCGGGCCCTGGCCCTTGTCCCCTGCCGTGCCGGGGGTGGCGGGCGCTCCAGGCTGGCCCGGGGTCTGCGGCGTGTGCGGCGCGCCCGAGCCCGCCTGCTGCTGTTGCTCGCCGGCGCCGCCGCCGCCGCCGCGGGCCGCCTGCGCTGCGGGGTTGGGGCCGCCGGGGTTGCCCCCGGCCACGTCGTCCTGCGGATCTCGCCAGCTGCTAACTACCATTGCCATATCTTTGGGCCCGGGGAGCGCTGGGGGGAGCCGAGCTGCTCGCCGAGGGCCGCGGGGCGCGCGGGCGCGCTGGGAGGGGAAGGGGAAGGGGAAGGGGGGAGGGGGAGGGGGCGGGGGGCCCGCCGGGCGCCCCGGGGTCGCGGGAGCCGAGCCCGAGCCGGGCACCGGCCGCTGCCTCCGCCGCCGCCGCCGCCGCCGCCGCCGCCGCTACTGCCTCGGCCGCCCCGCTGCTGCTGCGCGCCCGCCCGCCCTGCTGGCGTTTTGTTGTGGTTCCTGCTGTTTTCTTTCTCTCTTTTTGCAGCCCCCCCAGGCTCTCAGGCTCCCCCCCCAACACCCCTGCTCCCCTCGCCCGCTCCCCCCGCGCTCGGATCCTGGGGGGGCCACGCTCTCCTTCCCCCCCCTCCCCCCCCCCCCCCAGCGAGCAAGCTCCCTTCTCTCGCTTTTTTCTTCTTCCCCAAGTTGCAAAATCAGAAATGGCACAGGCGACAGCCGGGAGCGGCGCGGGGCGCAGCGCCGGGGGCGGCGGGCATGGGCCACGGCGCGCGCACACACTCGCCCTCCGCCTCGCCCGCACCCCCGCGCACACACACACTCGCACACACACTCGCTCACCCGCGCCGGGCGCCCGCCCGCCCGCCCGCCGCTCGGGCTACGCTCTGCGCGCCGGTTGAGCCGACATAGAGGAAGCCGGCGAGGGCGGCGGCGGCGGAGGAGGTCGCGGCTGCAGGCGCCGCTGGAGCCGCTGCCTCAGCTGCAGCGGCGAGCGCCGCTGGAGGAGCTGGGGCCCGGGCCGGAGTCCGAGCAGGAGTCGGGGCCGCAGCCGGAGCGTAAGCCCGGGTCCGGGCCGCCGGCGCCGCCGCCGCTGTCCCGGCGGGAGCCCTCGCTGGGCTCGGGATTGAGGGGAGCGCGGTGAGCCGAGCAGGGCGCGGGGCGAGGCTGCCGGCGGCGATCAAGGCGCGCTCGTGTCGGGGGGCCAGGTCCAGGGCCGGACGCAGCCAGCCATTCAGGAAGGCAGCGCTGGAGAGCGGGAGGCAGCCGGAGAGGAGGATCACACACTTTGCTCTTTTTGTTGTGCCGGTGGCGCCGGGCTCTCGCCGCCTTCTTCTTTCGGGAGGTGAAGGAGGGGGAGAAAAATACGAGATAATTCACGCCGGCGACGAATTCACAGCAAAATAGAAAAAATAAAAATCAGAAGAAAAAGAATTGCAAAAAAAAAAAAAAAAAAAAAAAAAAAAGCGAGAGAGACATCCAAAGTAGGTCGAATAAATAATCCTCTTCTTTTTCTCTTTCTTGCTCCTTCTTCTGCTTCTTCTGCTATAACACACAGAGCTAGTTAAAAAAACCCTGGAGATCGCCCAAAAATGTTCTTTTTTTAGTATTTTAAATAAGTGCTCTTCAGCCGGGAACCAACACCCTCCCTCCAAAAAAAATCATATATGTATAAAATAACGATAAGAAGAATACGAAGGGGTGCCTCCTCCTTTTTTTTTTTTTTTTTTTTTTTTTAAGTTTAGCCCTCTCTCTTCTGCCGGAATGGAGTAAAAGAGACAAGGAGGAGGGAGAAAAAGGAGAGAAAGAAGAAGAAGACGGGGGAAACAACTAATAGAATATGTAAGAAAAGAGAAGGGAGAGAGGAGAGAGGGGAAGAGAAGAGAGAGAGAGATTGAGAGAGAGAGAGAAAGGCGGAGGAGGAGAGAGAGAGAGAGTAAGAGAGAGAGAGAGAGAGAGAAGAGAGAGAGAGAGACCCCAAAATTGAATGCGTTTAAACGGGAGGACTCGCAGAGCAATGTTTCCGAAAAGGGGATCTGCGCGAATGTCTGTATATAGTGAACTTTGACACTACTATTGAAACTGACACGTTTCTATGGAGATCGCTGCCTTATATGGAGCTCGTGTCAAGGAGCCAAGAGAAGGGCTGCTGGCAACTGATAATCAAAGGCGACTGACTGGTCAGAGCCCTGAATCGGGGGGAGAGAAAACGGGAGGCTAAGGTTAGCCAAGCCTCCCGCACGCCATTGGTTGGAGAGCCCCTCCCCCTCCTCCTTTTCTTTCTTTCTTTTTTCCCCTCCCTCTTAGCTACCTACTGACGGGCAAGGCGAGGGGAGGAGGAGAGAAAGTGAGGGAGGGGGGTGTGCTTCTGACAAGCGCAATTTACATTGAGATCGCCCTGCGCTGCTATTTACTCTGAGACCTGATTAGTATGGGTCGTCTATGGTCACACACACACACATACACACACGAACACGAACACCAGAGGGGGAAGGGATGGCGAGGGGGAGAACGCTTTGCAGTGGGTAAAAAAGAGAATTAGAAGGAAATGATTTGGATCTCTTCTGAAAAGTTTTTAAAATTAGATTTTATGAGCATGAAGAGAGTGTCATTGAAGATGTTAGGAAAAATTTTAATGAGAATTAAACTCTCACCATTTTAATGATTCGTGAAATATGCTGGGTTTGAATTGTTTTCTTCTTTCACATATAAGCGCAATCCAAGTGTGGATTCTGCTCATTTTATATCCTTTTAAGAAACAGGGTAAGGACTTCCTGTTTTTTGGTCCAAAGTATATCTTGGTTTTAAAGGTTTAATTATGACTCCTGGAATTTGCAGCTATTGCCAGAAAATCAATCTGAATCAACGGTTCCTATTCATCCTAAAGATGATTTTAAAAATAAACTTTCCAGTCAATCCTATTTTTCCTTCTTCTTTCTTTCTTTTTCCCCCCTTGGTATCAGGCTGTTCCGAACTCCAAATTACGCTTCAATAATTATTAATAAAACAGTAGTAAGTCGGGGGAGGGGTGTTAGAGCAGCCAAGTCAGAGTCCTAGGAAAAGAGAAAAGGGGCGAGCCCACGAGAAGGGAAGAAGATGGGAGATGGGAGAGGTGCGGGAGAAGAGCGGGGAGGAGAAAGAGACGCAGGAGGGAGAGAGGGGGAGGGAGGGAGAGAGAGAGAGAGAGGGAGGGGTAGGGAGAGAGGGAGAGACTGAGGGAGAGAGAAGGAGAGAGAAGAAGAGAGAGGAGGGAGGGGGAGGGAGAGAGAGAGAGAGAGAGAGAGAGAGAGAGAGAGAGAGAAAAACCCCGATTCCCGAAGGCGATTGGTCGCGGGAGGAGGGGCGGGCCGGAGGAGCGAGTCCCGCCGCGGGGCCTGCAGGAATAGCTGGCTCCGGCTGCCACCTAGCGGACGGGAGCCGCGCCTGGGAGGCGCACAGCCGGGTCCCTCCTCCCCTCCCTGCAGGCAGCCTGTGCCTTTTCTCCAAACGGAGACAGCACTTTGAAAATTCTTTCAATGGATTTTTTTCCTTGAAAGATCGTACTGGGGGAAAATGATACTTCTATTAGTTACATATTCTCCAATCGCACACTCGCACCCCCCTCGTTTTGAGATCGCTCCCCTAGGCAGGCTCAGGCGGGCGCGGAGCGGCGCGGAGTGACAAAGCCGCCACTGCCGCCGCCGGGGGTGGGAGCCACGCTCGCCCGCCCGCCCCTCGACTCGGGAGAGCGTAAAAGTTTGTCTCAGCTCCAGCATCCCCAGCCTCAACATGCCCTCAGGTAAAGGTGGGAGTAAATGGCCACGCTGTATTGACAGAGGTAGGGTTTGTTTTTTAATACTACTCCTTCTCACTTTAAATTTCACCAGGGAGGGGTTTGGGAAGCGCTGCGTGTTTGGGGTGCGTTTTGCGCTTCCCGGTCTCTCCAGCCTGCAAGTCGGGAGTCGGCGACCGCTTAGTGACGAGCGACGATTTTAAAGAGAATAAAGGCTTTTCCGTGCCTGCCCCACAGCCCCTCCAGCTCGAATAATGGAGAGGCAGTCAATGCACTCTGCAAGCGGCGGCCCATTGTACGCAGCTGATGGAGAGGAAGCGACTGGGGCCGGCAGGGGCTCCTTGCCCTCACCCCTCTCCCCAAATAAACGCGCTCACCTCTCCTGGTCAGTTAAAAGGTGAAACGAACATGATTAAAAGACCAGAAAAAAAAAAAAAAAAGGAAAAGAACAAGAACAAGCTTTCTATATACAAATTCTAAAATTTTACTCCCAATACGGTACGGAGGCAGGCAGTCGAGGGCAGAGGAAGCAGGCAGAGAGAGGGAGACAGGGAGAAGGAAAGAGAACGTGGAAAGAGAC